TTTATAGTATGATTTTTTTTTCTATTGTACATGGAGTAACATCTTTAAAAAATTACAAAATAGTCATAATTAAAATATTGATACTAAAAATAAATGAATTCATATGTATGTGCTATTTTTTATACAATTCTTTCTAACCTATATAGTATCTTCTCAATATTAATGCCAACACCCTTGAATTGGGATGAGATTCGAACCTATGAGCTATGACCTCCTCCTTGAGAGTGCCACGGTGATGGCCGTGATGCCATCAGACCAGGAGATGTTTGGCTATGTATGTGCTATATTAAATGTACATGTATTACAAATGATAGCGGTAGAAGGTATATAAAATAAAAATAAATATAATTTTCAAAACTTTTTCTAAAAACTTATTAAAAAATAAAAGAAATTGATTTAAGTTAAATTTATATTTAAAAATAAATATAATTTAAAATTCATATTCGTAATAGTCATTTACATGTTTAGCTAACTACAAACATCTAAATTACTCAACATTTTACTTCAAACCGCTAATGAAAGCGGATGGTTAAAACTTAAAACATCTAACATTATCTATTAGTATCAATTTGCTGATTCAATAGACTATCAGCTAGCAGCCAAGCGTCAATTGCAAACACCCTAGTTGACATTCTTTGGTCATCCGCTTTTCATGATAAAATCAAATTAGAAAAACTGGAAATATCAATTTCACAATATTTAGGAGATCAATTAAATGTCATAAATTCTAAATTCGGGGACAAAAAACCTCTCACACAAATTTCACCAATTTGTCACAGCAGCTTCGTTTTTTATCCAATTTGTCTCCGGAAATTTTTTATTACTAATTTGGTAAACCATCCTCTTTTTTAAATCAATTTTGCTGGTCATTTGGACGGCCTAAAAGCTACCAGATATTTTCTGTTGGACTTCTCAATACTTTTTGGCAGCCAAACATCAATCACATGTGCATGAACAGATAGTGAGCAAAAATGGGGCCAGACGATTGACAATTATTGGACTAGAATCACTCCGTAAATAGATTACTGGACTAGAATCACTCCGTAAATAGAGTACAACTATAGAAGACAAAGATTGTGAGATGGATTATAAATTCTGATGTTATTGGTAACCTTAAGCAATAATAAACATAAAAAAATGGAGGGCAATAATAAGGGACACCACTTTGTTCTAGTTCATGGGATCTGCCATGGAGCTTGGTGCTGGTATAAGCTCATACCCATACTCAGATTTCACGGCCACCGGGTATCGGCGGTGGATCTTGCCGCGTCCGGTGTCCATCCAAAGCAACTCGAAGAGATTAGGACGGCGACAGACTATGTTCAGCCGTTGATTGACTTTCTGGGCCGGGTTCCGGCTGATGAGAAGGTGGTATTGGTTGGTCATAGCTATGGTGGACTGGCGATTGCTCTAGCCATGCAGAGTTTCCCAAACAAGGTCTTAGTTTCAGTTTTCGTATCTGCTTACATGCCTAATTCCAACACCCCTCCAGCCACTCTTATTCAAGAGGTGACCCCTTCTTCTTTTATGGGTTATTTGGTTTGCCGAAAAGAATAGAGGATTATAATTGAGATTGAAATTTGGAAAGCTTTGATACTCCCTCCGTCCCATTTTGGTTGTCCTACTTTTCTTTTTGGTTTGTTCCAAAATGAATGTCTTGTTTCCTTATCATTTCACTTTATTCTACTCAAATCTCAACCACAACTTTTACTTTTTCAACCACTTTATTAATAATCGTGCCAAATTGAAAGTGGACAATCAATATGGGACGGAGGTAGTACTTATTACTGAACACGAGTTCGTTGCAACTTGCAAGTATCATGGTAGTCAAGTAAGAGTAGCAAATTAAAAATTGTTGTAAATAGAAGAAAAACGATGTGAAATTTGAGAATATGATGAGCACTGTGTTTTTCTCTAAAAGAGTAATTCCTTCCGTGATGAGAAAATCCAATCAGTAATGACGTACGGAGTATATTACTACTCGGTGACAGTAATTTATGCTTATTTCAGGTAAAGCATTGTACTCTATGTTCAAATTTTACCTTATTTTCAATGGAAATTTCCCTAATATATACCAAATGGTGGAGGGGATTTACCTGAGGTTACACTTTTTAACCAACATATCACTATCAAAGTGGTGCAAATTTATTGTTTGCAGTATAAATGACTAAATTATTATTTAGATTATTATTGCATCACACTCAAACTTATAATCAAATAAAATGGTATAGATTAAACAATCTTTGCATGTGTATATTAATCATAATTATTATTAAAATTATTGACTTATAATGTGAATGAAACTTAAGATCTGTAAATGAAATGTTGTAAGATCTGTCATAATGTTAAAAAAAATTGGAGTCATGGAGTGTGCTCGTGTAGTGTCTAACCATTGGGACATGTTTACTTTGTTGTTTAATAAACAATGCTTATTAAGACATGGGAAAGTAAGTCATTGCTTATTAAAATATGCTTATTAAGAACATGTTTACTTTGTAATGCATTTGGGCTTAATTAACCTAACTTACTTTTACTTCATTTGGCTTAAAAGGTGGGTTATATACAAAATGTCAAGAATAACCTTAGGACTAGTCGTGCCCAGCTTATTTGATCGTTCTATCTCAATAGAAGCAAATGAAATGTTTCTCTTCTCCATCGGCGAACATACTTACTCCGTAGTCCGTACCTCGCAAGTCGGTCAAATTCAATGAAACGCCGGGTCCAAATTCATTGAAATTTTAAATTTTTATTTCTCAATTCTAATAGACAACAAGTTCGAACTTCGATTCTCCGAATACGTTCTAAGGTCGGTTCGTGCTCTGGCATCTGGTGGAAGCTTTAGGGAAAAATTATAAAAACAAGAGAAAAGTGTCAAATAAGCCCCTTACTATACGGAAAATGTCAATTGAGCCCCTGAACTTAAAAAACACTCAATTAAACACCTGAACTATGAAAAAACATTCAAAATAGATTTTCATCAGGTTACCAACCAGTCATCACATAAATTTACACTAGTGGCGACAGGTGGCGACATGTTGTGACACATGTGTAATTTTTTTCTTTTTTCTTTTACTTTCTTTCCTTTCCTTTTCTTTTCCTTTTTCTTTCTTCCTTAACCCTGGTTCGTCACTTCACTGGTTCGTCCGCTAATCTTCTCCCTTGCGCCAATTACCCCACTAAAGTTTACTTTGTATTTGATAAAAGTCATTGAAGAACAAGTTGTTGCTAACAGCAATTTTCGTACTTCTCCGGAAATAACAGTACGATTTCGAAATAGTATACGAATAGTAAGGTTATCACGGGTAAGGTTTATACTTATACACAACAATTTCGAAAATCTATCTCACACAATATACCTATTAAAGGTTAATTTTACCTGAGGTGTCGATTGCAGCAGGCATTTACCTAGTCCAAAACGTTTAAGGCCTCTTAATAACCTAACGGTGAGTTAAGCACTTAAGCATGAAAGTAAAGATGTCGTTGGTCTTGGATTCGGAACCATAGCTCTAGTGAGGACCAGTTGAGATTTGAGATAATCGTACCATTCGTACCAACATGTAAATTACTTATCCGATACCATGTTACAAGAATACAAGCACTATCATTGGTAGCTTCTAAACGGCATGGAATGGAATATTCATGGGAAATTGATTTTTTGTCTACACCACCCGTCCACCGACCAATCAGACAATTTTTGTTTATGCTTCAGACAAAATCATTGTCTGAGAGAATGATTTTTTCTCTACGCGCGCATGCCTGCATGGTGTTGCTAAACATTCTACTCCGTACAAGTTAGTGTACATAAAGCAAGCGAATATAAATAATGGTATGATTATTAATTTATTATTACTCAATTAATGTTATCCACATTTTAACGACTCCCTATTAATATACGGAGTATAATGTCCACCTTTATTAATTATATGCACGGAGTATTATCCCCTTTTACTTGCTCTAAGCATAACCCAATATTATTCATAAGGTGTGTGAGGGGAAAACCGTGTTATCGAAATTTTCTTCTTTGTAGATTTAACAAAGATCTAACCCAAATCTGGGAACATTTCTACTTTGCAGAATTGCAGACAAACATACATTCCAGGTTTCCAGCATACCAATCATGCGGTTACATAAGAGCATTACTCCGTATTTCTTTATATGTCATAGAAGGAACTAAATTTTAATAACCATTCAGACCAATATGGCAATATGTATTACTCCATAATGCATCTAATTTCAAGGAGTAAGAAAACCAGAATTTTCTAAATCTTGAATTTTCTTAATCCAAACATAGTCATCTCTCTACATTCCCAAGCATGAAGGGATTTCGAGAAACGGAAATCAATCCAAACAAGGCTAAAGGTAGTAACTATAATTGTTTCTTATTCTTCAGTATTTTAGAAGGCTCGCACATAAATCTCTAATGGATTGTCAAGTAACATTCGATGGAGGACTGGAAAATCCGCCAACTTCAATCACTCTTGGTCCCAACTTCATGGAAGCTGTAGTTTATACACACTGCAAACTCGAGGTAACTTTTCTTTTTTGAAAAGAGAAGACAGTACATTTGTAAACTAGTTTGGATTAAATATTATAAAAATGGAGGTTACAGGTTTGACTGAATGCGCAGGAGGTGGAGCTGGGGAAAATGTTAACAAGGCCTGGTGCCCTTTTCGTGGAGGACATGAAAAAAGAAAATTTGGTGACAGAAGATAAATATGGGTCAGTGAAGAGAGTATATGTTATCTGCGAAGATGATCAGCTCATGGACCAAGATTTTCAGAAACATAACATACACAGCAGCACTTCCCCTTGTGAAGTGAAATCCATACCTTCAGCTGGTCATATGGTCATGCTCACAAAACCACAGGAGCTTTGCTCTTGTTTGCTTGAAATAACTGCTACTGCAGCTGCCACCACTGCTATTTGAGATGAAAAACACTAGTATCGTACCCTCATTGTTTTAATTTCAAGAGGTTGTTGTATCATGTCAGACTAATGCTTTTGGTAGAGCTCCTGAAATCTCGACAATCTGCAATAAATATGTAAAACTACATTCATCCTCAAATTGAGATTTTAATGTCAACATGAAGATACTCCGTAAAAGAAAAGGAAGATTACAAATTGAGCTAAAAATGGCTCCCCATCCCATGAAGAAGTTCCTAATTTGACTTTCATACAGTTTAAAAGGAAATTAGATTTTTTCTTTGGCTTCCAGAAACACCCTTTTAGTAGAGGGTACGATTTACTGTTCCATATACTATTTTGACACTACTATTTTGATTATTTGAGGGTAGTAAAGTAAATTGGTACCGTTTTTTTACCAAATAAGTAAAGAGGGCTTTATTTAATACTTCCGAGAAAGGAATACATGAACAAATAGAGACGGAGGCAGTACCATTTTTCAGAAAATAGGACCATCCGACCAGTGAAGCTCAGGACTTAAAAGCAACTAATGAGACAAAAACACCTCCCCCCCACTTTCCATTTTCGACCCATTCTTTCCATCCTAGCAGGGGCGGACCCAAGAAGTTTGTCTTGGGAGGGCGGTAACTTAAACAAAATATTTTTTGAGAGGACGAAAATTATTTTTTATTATATATATATACTAAAAAATTTTGTTGTTGGGGGGCGACCGCCCTCCTGGGTCTGTACTACGGTCCGCCCTTGCATCCTAGTTACCACCTGCTGCCTCCCACTCTGATCCGCCTCCACTGGCTCATTTACAATGCTGACACCTCATTGACCACCACTTTCGCCATCCCTGACCATTGTCCCCAGGTGCACTAACCGCTACCTCTGGTCCCACTACTGCCAGGCTCCAAAGACCAAGCCTCTGATGTTTATAACAATGGTCAGTGAATCGGAGGAAGTGATCAGTGAGCCGGTGGTAAGTGGTCAGTGGCAGCCAGAGACGATGGTAAGTGAGCCAGAGTAAGTGGTCGAAGGTGGGATATCAGGGAGCCGGCGGCTGCGGTGAGGCAGAGGTAGGTGGTCAGTGGGCCGAATAACTTGAGTACCAAATAGAAAATGTGATTAGAATAAAGGGTACACTTGGTGGCAGTTTTTAGGCTTTCTTTTATGAGGAATATATAATTACGAGCTTAGTTATAATGCATATGGAGTAGATGGTCTTGTTTAGAGAAAAACACCCATGTTCTATTGTTTTTTTATATGGTAATGTTCTATTGTTAAATAAATGATTTTGTACGAGTATTTGTGGTTAGTAAATACCACTATTATTACATATCCTTATTTCACAGTGTTATATTCTAAGCATGAAAATGGATTAATTTAAAAAAAAATGATTTTTTTCAGATGGAATGGGTATGAATATAATGTTAAAAAAGGAATGGTAAAGAAGGGCAAGAATATAATGTTAAGTAAATAGTGAAGAAATAACACACCGCTGTAACAACACTTGCGGGTTATATGGAAAAAGATTCTTTTGATGAAGGCTTTCAATAGATGCTTTCAGTTCCAATAAACAACTACTAGCACACTCGAAAGGAACTCTCTCAGTTCTGTCAGCAACAGCACCATAATGTTTTCCTCTCATCTGGTGATCTAGTTCAAATGGAAAACAAATCCCATCATTCACTGATGTGGACAACTCCCCTGAAAAACTCGGACGATCTACTGATGTTTTTCTTCTCTTTTGACATAATTGAATTTCATTTTTTATGCTCCATGGGAAAGTTTGAAATAAGCTCCAAGACTGAAATACCATGCGCAAGCACCTTCAAGAATTCAAGTGGAAAAAATGTACACAAATTGATGTTATTTTCTCTTTCTTTCCATGGAAAACAAAAAATAAATAAATAAACAGGAAACTGAAACCTAAAATGAATTCTTACATTTCTTAATGTTTATTCTGAGATTAAGCATCCATACTTTCTTTGTAGTTGACCATCTTCTAGGGTGACTTATTTTCGAATTATAAGTGTTTTATAGGACGGTAAGTAGTTATACTTTGAAAGTAATGCTTTAAAAAAGCAATGCTTAAGCTATGCTCCACAAAATCTGGGAGACATGGGGAAAGGTGAAATGGGAAACACTAACTTTTAATAGTAATACATGTGTTTATTCATTATTTGTTCATTCATTATTTGTTACCCCAGTGCCGCAAACGCTCCCACCTACAGTGGGGTACGGGGGGGGGGGGGGGGGGTCGGATGTACGCAGTCTTACCCCTGTGCTAAAGCACAAAGAGACTGTTTCCGGACGAGCCGTAGTGAAAATCGCGTAAAAAATTACATGGGCTGATTGTTGCTTCATAACAAAGAAGCGCAGACAGTTTAGTGAGCCATTTCGCTTTATTTCATCATATTCTCAAGCCAAAAAATAGTGAGTCTTTGGCTCCATTTCAAATGATGTAAAGAGTAATACAAGAGTTTAGAGAGTTTTTAAAGAGTTTCCTTGGAGGTTCTGAAATTGAAATGTACTCTTTCCCGTAAGTTTCGAAACAGAAATGTATTCATTCCTGAGAGTTTCATGATTCAAAGTTTTTAAGAAATTCAATTTCAGCTTTTGAAAAAAAAAACACTTTTCGTGCTTAAATGATAAGCCAAGTTTATAAAAGCACTTACAGCATAAGAGACATGCCAAACACTAAAATAGTATATCTATGGCTGGATAAGAACAACATGGTTCAAGAATGTGATTTTTGGACTTGTTCAAATGGTGTGCTGTAGTTCCAAATTTCTTACTCGCAAATCCTTTACCATCTTTTTTTAAAGAGCAATACAGATCATCACATGCCTTAGGAGATATTCAGCAGAACTGGCTCCTGTATCTTTTGAGATAAGATAATCCAGAAGAACTTGATGATCATAGCTAATCTGTTAGAAGTGCAACAAGCTCATATGTGATAACAACATAAGCATATATTAGAATGCCTGTAAATCTGTTTGATGAGAAACGCTAATTGTACAACCAATTTCTACAAGTTTTCTTGGTTCACAATTTCACACAGACAACATTTTGTAAGGGTGGTTGTATGTGTGTCAGAAACTCAGAACTAAAAACAATGTTTTGCGAAAAGATACAAAATAGTGTGAACAAATTTTAACTGACAAAAAACACAGACAAAAAACTTGTCACTATAAACAAAAAAACATCTAGAAATTTGTTGTAATATTGTTTAGACCAAGCGTGACTGATAGTTCAATACCTCGACAAAAGCAATGATCTAGGACACATACCTCTGCTAGAAAATGGTGAAATACACATATAGGATTAAAAAGGTCTGAAACAATGGAAGCCATTTTAACATCTGCTGATGGCATTCCTTCTTTAACAAACCTATGCACAGGAAGAAAATATTCAGGTTGACCACTCAATTGGCACTATACCAATATGAAAAAACAAATGTGTGCAACCTCACCATTCCTCAGAGAGTGGGGAAATACAAAGCAGTTGCAGGAGCATCTGAAACAGAATATCATCCTACAGGAAAACATAAATCAATATAACCCAGCACCTAAATGGAAAAAAATGTTTTAGATATCCAAAATAAACAAACATGAAGAATCTAAAGACTGAAAAGAACTCGTGGGCGCAAAAACAACCTCATGCATATAAAGCTGAAGGAAGCACAACTGAAAGCTTAAAATACATTCAGCACATTTCTTGTGGTCCAAAAAAGCATCATCATTAGAAACAAGTTGGAGCCACTCATGGATCTCTTTCAAACCTTTGCTTAAATCTGATTTCAGATTAACAGCAGAGTGACAATCGTGGTCAGTAAATGCACGGTTTTGTCCACTTCTCTCCATATTGACCATGCAAAAGGAACATCTTAGAAAAAGAAAAATAGCCAGCCTTTGCAAATGTCTGGATGTCATGTTCTCTTTTTCTGCATCATAAGTATTTTCCCAAAATGGTGAGCCCTCAAGACATTTATCTAGATCAGACTCCACTCCAGCTATTGGTAGGCATAAGATGTCTTGAAAGTAAAGGTGGATGAGATTCAGCCATGAATGAAGAACAGAACCATCCAACTGGACTCCAGAACTGAGCCTGATCATTAGTATCTGCATGTTAACATTTTGATTGGGTTGTGTTGGTAGAAAGATTCACATATGTGTGCTTCGTTATACAGGAAAAAGTTAATATTCATTATTGGTCCATTTGGAACTCAGACATGATAGGGAAGAAATTCAGGAGGTAAGAAAACATGGGGGGAATAAATGGTTGCTTAAAACTTGATAAATGAAGTTTAGATATTTGTTTTTATTTTTACTTTATAGAAAAATAAGAAATCTCCATATGTATGGAATCTTAAAAGGTTTATTATAAAATTGGTTTCCATCTATTTTCAGACGCAAACCTAGATGCTAAGGAAAAACATTTTCCATAGTACTTACCCCCCTTTGCCTATTGCTTCTTGAATTCCAAAAGCAGCCCTTAGATTAGTTCAAGACATATCATACCAGAAACTTGTGCTTGTAATATTTAGAGATATAAAGACTTCCAAAGTTCTGAAAATTTCCATGGCACAAACCTAGGAGCCTAGGAAGGATGCTTCTGATCTCACTAATAACTGTGTGCTTATGCAAATCATCAGTAATGGCTTCTAGCGGCAGGCTTATCATCTCGGCCAATGAACACAACAACTGAATGAAACTTCCAAGAAACAAAATTGCTGGTTTTGGTTTTGCATCTTGGCATTGAAACAAACCATCAGCATTGAGGTCTCCCAAAGACTTGTTCGTTTGACAGACAAAAATCTCATGCAACAAATCCCATGGCACATTTGATATTAAAGAGTTTGTGGCCTCGAAGCACAACTTCAAAATGTGATCATCAGCGTCTCGTTTTGCATTCTTCACTATCCTTCTTAAAACTTGAGTGATGACAGCTATTGATACCCAATTGTTACTTTTATGGTGGAGTTTAACGGGTGAAACAGAGGTTGATGGATTTACCTCCACCATTATACATCCAGTAGAAGATGAAGTAGAACTAAAAATTGACATATCCAAGAGAGAAAATAACTGCTTAAGTTCAAACCAGCTACTTCCCTAAAAGTAAAAAAACAAAAAAAAAAGTAACTAAGTAGATGAAGAATAGCAAATGCAGAGAATTTAATTGGTACGTAGAATATCGTCACATACAGATGCAACTAAGAAATTAGAAGTTTCCACCAAAATGTTACCCACTAAGTGTTGTACGTATGAATTTTCAATATCCAGCAACTCCATCTGTGAATAATATATAAAATGATTAAAGATGAATATGAATTCAAAATGAGAAAGTGGCAGTACAAAAACCAAACAGTTTAGGCTCCAGAGTTGCACAAATGACAAATGCATCTAATGATAGATTGCTTGGGTAAACTTTCAAGTTAAAATACTTACCAAGACGCTGATGGCCTTAGATAAACAGGGATGGATCTCAGTATCCGAGCGGTGGATAACACTACAATCCATAACGCCAGGAGAACCTCCAGCAACATCCTGCTGACAAAGTCGGGAACATAGCGTTGAATAGACAACATAATTCAAAAACCTAATCCAATTTATAGGGACAATACGAGAGGAGAGAATACAGACTGAGTCGGAGTCAGAATCGGATGGGAAATCCAACTTCCACAGCTTGATTTGTGAGCAAACTCGAGAGAGGGCGATCAACAGGTCCTTCACGTTTTCTTTGGTAAAGGAAGTAGGCAAAAGCTCCTAAAAGCCAGTTAGAGAGTGAAACTCTGAAGAAAAAAAGTGTGAACAAGAATGGCGGGAAGAAAACAGCGTTTGCCGTCGAACTTACAGCATATGGACACAGTGAATCGCGGATTAGGCTGCAGAGCCTCAAGTGGACTTCCCTATTACTCATTATCCGGGCGGTGGCACGGCGACTGGAAACCGGTGTCGACGGCGATAAGCCCGCGCGGATTTAATTGTTTTGGTTAACTTTTGATTTTTAATTATTTATTTATATTTATACTCATTCGTTCAGTTTTTGAAAGAACTCGAACAAAGGTAGACTAATTAGTAGCTAAATGATGGAAAATTATCGATAAAAAAGCTAAAGGCTTGTTAGTAAATATTTTCTGTTTTCTAAAAATTGAAGACAGAAAAATTAGAAAACATGTTTACCTTACCGTTCTCAAAAAGGGAAAAAAACGAGACAAGTCTAGCCTTTTCCTATAGAAATATAGAAATATAGGAAAATCGACATTTAGGTGTTTTCACGTTTTAGAAAACGCGGAGCTGCAGTACAGCCTATTTACTCCCTCGCCTTCATTCTTTACAGCGCTCTACCTTCCTCCCCTTTATTGCGCTCTACGCTTCAATTTGAAGACCGTGTAACCACTTCCTTCTCCTATTAAAGTGAGACGCCAGCTTTCCCAAAATCATCGCAGCGCTTTTCCTATACTCTACATGACGTAGCTCTGTTCCCCAAAGGCATTGCACCAGTCCAGCAAACAAGGCGTCGCTGGTAGGAGCTGGCCCCTGCCATCACGGACTCTCCCAATTCTTCAGTCGGCTCCTGTTCTGTGAACGAGTTCAAGGTAAGCTCTCAAATTAATTGGCCTTTTCACTTTACCTTGTTGATAATTCGAATTCAATTGGAAACTGAAGGTCAATTGAGCTTCATTGTTTTTAATCTCTAACTATTTTGTTCATTTTGTCATCTGTTTTTTGCAGTTGTATATAGATATATATGTGTATCTATATTATGAATTTTTTCAACTTTTTTCTTGTTAATTATTACTTTGAGAATTGAAAGAGAGGGGGGTTGTGTGGTCACGTTTTTTTAAATCTCTTACTTAACTATCTATGTTTAGTCACGTTTTTTTTAATTCTCTTCCTTAACTATCTATGTTTAGTCACATTTTTTATAGACATTGTGATATGGGATCGGATTATGCTTCTATTGTGGTTGATTTGGGTTGAAAGAGAGGGGGTTTTGTGGGGAGTATATCTTATGGTGAACAATTTTATACAATAGAAAAAGTATAATGGAAGTCTGTTATGGATATACTGTTTTTTCAATGCTTAAAGTCTGTTGTCATTGCTTAAGTCTTTTGTCATTGCTAAAGAAGTCTGTTTTTTCACATTTTTCCTGATTAATTACAATTTAGGTAGAGAATTGAAAAGTAATGGATAGACTCACTATATCTTTTTAACACATAAAAAGTATCATGTTCAGAGACAGGGCTGGCCCTGAGGGGGTATAACTGGTGCGGGTGAACAGGGTCTCACCTGAAAGAAGGGCCCCAATTTTCAATAGATATGTAAGGCCTATTACCCAAAAATTAATATTTACATGGCTTTTTGAAACACTACGTGGAAAATTGAGATACTCTATAATCCACAAAGTGACTCTTTGAAAGAAGGAACAACTAATCAACTACTAGATCTCTTTCTCTCAATCACCTCCTCTTTGAACCACTTCTCTCCTGCGGAATGACAAAGCTGCCATGGAATCACGGGACAGAGGGAGAGACTTACGTCTTTTGCCTCTACGGTTTCTTATGGTTTTTAGGCACTCTGTTTCTAGTTCTTTTGTCTTCCATGTGTTCCTAATCGACATACATATTGGAGGGATTTGGAGAAATAACCCAAACTACAAAAGAAAATAAATAATGATCACAATTGTAATAGATATGGTTGAATCCTTGTGATCTAAAAGATGTTTTTACTCCACGAGTTTTTAATTACCGAGCAACGAAGCAAGTGCATTGTAATTCTTAACTGTTTGTAAATTCAATTCATACATGGGAGGCTAGGATTGTGAAGTCGATTATTTTAATGTACTTGTGCATCGAGATGTAGTTTACTTTTCTTATTGTGATATTTTCTTTATTAAAAAATGAGGCCTCCTAATTAATTTTGCACAGGTCCTCTAATGAGTCAGGACCGGCCCTGTTCAGAGAATTGACTATACTTTAAAAGATACATATCACATATATTTTGTTCAGGCATACAAAATAGGCCTTATATATAGGATCCTATCCTGGTAAGACAACCTGGCTTAATTCTCCAAGACATTTCTATCCCTTCAGTTTCGAGAAACCCCCCATCAGGTTTGACAAGAAAAACATCTATAAGATATTTAGTGGATATGTAAACATCATCATCCTGTTAGAAACAACTTCCTTCTATGTGAAATACATGAATTCAAAATTTACTAGAGATTAAGTTCAGGGATTAGTTAGCTAAAGAATTAACTAGAGATTATAGAATAAGTCACACAAGATAAGCTTGCACCATTAGTTTGCTACTCCAAGGCAGTGTGTCTGCTAGATTGTACTAAGAATATGAACTAAGTAGGCACTGATAGAGCAGGCAGTTTATATATGGTTAAAGGAAGACGTGTAGTTATTTTTGTAATATATTTCAGTTTTGAAAATTTTATATCTGTTACATTTAGAAGTCTGTTTCTTCACCATTTTTCTTATAGGCTGGCAGATAGTATCGATCCTAAATTAAATAGGATGGCAGATTACGTTTTGGTGTGTGATTGGTCTTTGTTTTAGTCTAAAAAACATGATTGGAAACTTTCACATTTGAAACAATTGGAAACATTTTTTGGTGAACTTATGTTGTTAGCATATTACAATTTTGCTACAATTTTGTGGTAGATGATTTTAACTCAAAAAGAAAAGGATGATGCTATATGGCTTGACAAAAAAGAGACTTTGTTTTTTACTGTGCTATATGAAAGAGTAAAAAAAGACCCAACCGGGAATCCAACATTTAAGGGTCGAGACTGGAATGATATGGATAATGAGATGTTGGTCTGAGGTCGTTATCAATAAGGTAATGACATGTTACGGGGAAAGTACAATAGGATGAAGCTCATACATAGACAATTTGGTCAGTTATTGGCTCATGCTGGAGTTACATATGATTCTGGTCGGAATGTTGTTCATGCCACAGAGGAATGTTGGCAGAAATTTTACAAGGTGAATGTTTAATTTAATGAATTTATGGCATTTGATTCATATTTTATTTTTTTGAAAATTATTTTACTAAGCTCTTTAATTGAGATATGTGTACTACAAATATGCAGATGAACAGGGGCTTTAAGACTTTTAAAAGGAAGGGTTGCAAGAACTATCTGTTAATGAATCTTGTTTTTGGACAAGGGAGTGCAAGTGGAGGACTTGCTACTCCTTCCACCAAAGTACCGACACACTCAGATGAGGAAAGAAGGAATGAGGAGGTATTCTTACATGGTGCAGGTGTAACACCCCGGCCCCGCAGGACCCGAGGTAGTTACTCCGGACAACTAGTACTGTCCTCACAAACCGCCACTAGCCTTTTCCGCGCACTTTGTCCTCACTCGTGCGCGCCCTGAGAAACTTCCCAGGGGGTCACCCATCCCAAGACTACTCCCGTGCAAGCACGCTTAACTTTAGAGTTCTTGGCTAATGAGCTCCCTTAAAAGGAGATGCACCTTGTTGGTATGAGTAGTACTATTAATCCATTTGTATTAAATCTCAAGTGTTACAATCACCCCCACCTAGGAACGCAACGTCCTCGTTGCGCCCATAAACCAATCTCAAATCTCAATCAAATCCCAGAATCTTCCCCCGCTAAGTGCCCGCCCGATATCCAACGGGTCAACACACTGTCGCAGGGTTGCTCTGATAACACCTGTAACACCCCGGCCCCGCAGGACCCGAGGTAGTTACTCCGGACCACTAGTACTGTCCTCACAAACCGCCACTAGCATTTTCCGCGCACTTTGTCCTCACTCGTGCGCGCCCTGAGAAACTTCCCAGGGGGTCACCCATCCCAAGACTACTCCCGTGCAAGCACGCTTAACTTTAGAGTTCTTGGCTAATGAGCTCCCTTAAAAGGAGATGCACCTTGTTGGTATGAGTAGTACTATTAATCCGTTTATATTAAATCCCCGTTTATATTAAATCTCAAGTGTTACAGCAGGGGGGCATGAGCTCAGAGAGATCGCACTCAAAAGGGAAATGTAAAGCTAAGGAAGCGAAGGGATCAAGCAATAAGGACTGGAAGACTGTTTTGGCTAATGGGATCCACGCATACACGACAACTATGAGTGAAAAAGAAAAGAGACGTCGATCTCGAGATGAAGATGTTAGCACCACACCTACAGGTGCAAAGGGAAATTTTTCTATGACCCGATGCGTTGAAGTCATAAATGCTATGCCGAATGTGTCAACCCGTGCTTATAATGATTCCATCGATGCACTTACAGATATTGTCAGACGTGAGGCCTTTATGGCTATGCCCGCAGACCGACAATTGGATTGGGTTATGAGATTTGATTCTAACTAGTTAAACTTTGTTTGCATTTCGTAATCTATATTATATGTTTTATGTATGTGAACTTGAACACTTTGTTAGAAAAATATTTATCTATGTATTATGTGTCGAATTATTGAAAGTGTTTGTTACGTATTAAGTGATTTTGCATTTGTCTCGCACCTGAAGCATGAATGTTATACCCTATTGCAGATACACAATGTCACATAATGGCAGTGGTGATGATATTTCAGACTCTGCAAGTGATGAAAATGATGAGTTCGGGGCCCTATTGTTAATGGCTACATGTGTTTTAGTTGATGCCGAAAGAATTCCATGTCGAATGTCTATACTCACACGTAACGCTTATATAGATGAGTTAATGACAGGTCATCCACTAAGATGCTATGAAAATTTTAGGATGAACCCACACATATTCCTGCGTTTATGTGAAAGACTTAAGAATTTGATTGTTCTACACGATTCAAGATATTTAAGGGCTGAAGAGAAATTAAGAATAGGTCTTTTAGTATTATGCCAAGGGGCGGGGTAACGTACATGTGTAGAGCGTTTTCAGCATTCAATGCGAACTGTTCACTTATGTGTGAAGCGTGTGGTGAGAGCACTTGCACGCTTGGGCAAAGAAGTTATAAAGCCAGTTAATAGGGGCCCTGTTCAAACTGAAATTTTAGAAAAACCGAAATGGTATCCTTATTTTGAGGT